GTTTCCCTCCCCTTTTTCTTCTCTTCTTATCGCCTTTTTCTCGCTCCTTTTGCCTTACGTGTCGCGAGCCTTTTTTGTGTTTTTTCTCCTTTTCCTTCCTCGGTGTTTTCTTTAAATTTTTATCATTGTAAGAACAAATCCGTATTGTGTTAACAATGATTTTAAAAATATCTAATAATTTGAAAATTAAGATGAATGAAAGTAATTGATAAGGCCAAAAAGGACCTCTTTTAAATACGAAATATACGAAATATACTTTTATATACGAATTATCCTTCTTGACATGAATTCGCCCGGTGAATTCATTTTTCATTGCAAAATAACTATATATTTAAAATTTTTATGCATTCAATTTCTCCAGTGAAAAGAATATTTTTTTATAATTGATTGTGATGTCTCATGATTTATTATTGCATATATGCATTTATACATTTTTACTCATCTAATACTTACGCTTATCTCTGAGCAGTATGACATTCTCCCAGCAAGATAATTTCTTTCAAATCTTTCGAAATAAGTAATAGTAGTAATTATAATTTTTAAACTGAATATTGTTAGGAAATTGCATAACATTAAAATAAGAAGTTATAAGAAGTTACACAGAAAAATATTATAACTTGCAAAATGAAATAAACAAAACAAGACATGCGTAAAGAGATAATCGTCAAGTTTGAAACAAGTTAGAAAACTGAATTTATTGTGAAATATATTAACATATTAATATTTATGTTTTTCGCATTGACAGATGATTTATACGATCCGGCTTTAATAGCGCACGTGAAGAAAGTTGCAAACTCGAGGTTTGCGATATCGTAAATATTGCGCAAGGGTTAGAAAAATCAGTACACCGGTTATACTTTGTAACGTGATATTTTCTTATTATAACATCTGCAAAAAAGACCAGTCGCGTTACATCTACAACTTCGTACATATCGCCGTTATGCGTCTCGACACTGGTTACATCATCATCAATAATGCTTTTATTACTCGTCGTAGCGATGTTCTACGTGACGCTACGATACAATATATATCCATTTTTTTATATATATATATATATATATATTCATTTATATATATATATTTATATTTTCTTTGCAATTCATTTATATATATGTTCATATATTTTCATATTTATATATTTATATGCATTCATATATATTTATATTCTTTATTTATATTTATATATATATTAGTTATTTACATGTCTTTTATACAAAAATTTTCACGATTTTATATATAACTATGTATAAGAATGTCATTCTCTCGCGCCCGTACGTACACACGCGTTCGTTTATCGGTATAATACATTTTTGAGTTTCGTGAGCAACCGTATCGTTCGAGCACCTCGAAGGGGATTCACATCGTGAAAAACCGCCATGCGAATGCGTCAACAAGGACTTTTATATCCAGATTTTGGGTGAAATAATGACAAATTGATAAAAAGTAAAGTTCGTCATGTGTACTACTTTTCCTGTACAAATAATTGAGAATAACAATATATTAAGATGTTCTCTATGCAGAAATATATGACATACTATATTACAATAAAATAAATAAAAGTCTAGGTTACATACAATTTTCATTTTAAAAAACAATTTTAATAATTATTTCTAAGCGAGAGACTAAAATTTTATGCTTTATCCTTCTATATAAAAACATAAAATTTCTTTAACAAAGTATTTATGGTTTACATCATTCTATAAATTTTTCTTGCGCTTCCTGAAATGACAAGAAATCATTTATTATTATTCCGTCTAATTGAATTGTCTAATCATCGATTCTTTTTACATTCTGACAATCACTATCACTTCCTGAAGCTGCTAAATGAGCGAAGGTGGAAAAGGTGAACATAAAATGTACAGAAAATATAGCATCACTCGTAAGCATTTAAGTACTCGATGTATGGTAGTGATCATCCTTTTTCGCATTCGAATCGATATTTCCTTATCCTGCATGTATAATAAGCTACTTATTCTTAAAATTGCATATAATTACAAATTTAATTTAATCAAAATCTATTTATTTCTGAATTAAAAAGAAGAGAAGAAAAAATTACAGGATAGAGCTATTTAATTATAGTATAGCCAAAAGTTTAATGATGAAAGTTGACAAAGAAAGAATAACATATACCCGCGACAATAATATCATATTATATATTTTTTACGAAAATTTTCAAAATTTGTGCATTCATTTTGAAACAGAGGATTTATATCCACGAGCAATCCAGCTGCAGTGCTATCAATTGAATCATCAATTTGAATCCCGCTCGAGGAAACTTAGTCGCAGAATTTCCTATAAGGAACGACCGCTGCTTAAAAATATTAGAAATATCCCATATACCCCTAGAAAAAAAGTGCTCCACTAAATAACT